AATATGTGCAAACTTTGCAACTTACATGTAACTATGGGAATACTTTCACAGCATGCCAGAGATGTGTATTAATAGTGCCTCCATTTTAGTGCCAAGTATGCCTCAGCAGCAGACTTTGTGTCAGCAGCTGTAATCATATCGTCAAACCAAACGGAAGGTGCTAGTATCTTTTCTAATTGTTGGTGCTTTCAACTATGTACTTATAAATTGCTGGGGGGGGGGAGTTGCCCCTACCAGCCATAGATTTCTGGATACGTCACTGCATGCTGTACAAATACATGTTCAATGTGCATGTAGGTCTCCTCGGCAATGTCCAGGAGCAGCAGCCTCTTCATAGGAGCCTTCTCTTCATGTCTATCTGGCACTCGTTAATTATTCATATTGTCCAGGGCCGCAGAAAAAGCTCACCAGGCCCCTAAGAAACGGTCCAATTTATCAACCGAGATGCTTTGGCTGTGAAGCTGAAACGGCAGTAAAATGGCCATGCTTAGGTGCAGGGTTTGATTTAAGGCACCAGGGGACCGCCAACTGATCCAGCTATAGTTGACATCAGAAATAACAAGAGCAGAGTTTTTCCCAACATGGAGAAGAAAGTGTGAGTGGCTTTGTAATCCAAGCCTTTTTAGTCTCAGAGCTTCTGTGGAGGTTTTACCCTTGAATTTCTACGGTCAATACCAGTCAAAGAACGGGTAAAAAAAACTAGGTGACAGCTAGTGGTGCAGACTGTTGGTGAAATGGAAACTTGCAAGGCAAGATGACTTGCAATCGTTGACTTCATGTAGCGATTTCATCATTATGTAACCGTTCTGGTAATGTTATATTCAATATTGATTTTTTGTGTATTTAGTGTCTCATGTACAACACAAGTGCCTTTGTATGTGCACAAGTCCATGAATGAGAGAAACTCAGAACCAACTTGCAGCAAGATCCCATGGTTGATTGTAATGTAACGTGTAATTTAGTGAAAAGGACAAAACAGGTGTGGTACAAAAGCATTTGCTGGTACGTTTCATTCCTAAAGGGTAATAGCAAATTCACTGGATAGGAAGAGCGTCAGTAGTCTCAAATAAATCAGGTCGTCATTCTCCCACCGTTCCCTCCAACCCCAGGAAAAAAGCACCACACCACTTGGATCTGTGTGATTTCATTGTCATAGGATTATTCATATAGTATCCCAACTCCGTGAGTGGATTTCATAATGTTAAATTCAGTTCATCCGAAAGAAATGCAAAAAGTTTGACATCAAATGTGACATCTGATGTTACACTTATTTCAACAGCAAAATTCGCCAGCTTTTTTGGTGCCGTCTTAAATTGCCTTTTTGAATTAATATCACTGAGGCACTTCTCTCGTGTCATGACAACCATGGTCAGTTTGAAAGGCCTAAAAGAGTACACTGTGTCAGACAAACAAAAAGGAGGCATTAAATACTTTATACATGAGAGGAAAGAGTTTCACAAAACATGTCTGGATACGTGTCTTCATGAGTCACAAGCACTTGCTGAGCGCATGTTTGGAGCAACATGTATTTATATCCAGCCTTAGAAGGGTAATTCCAGAAATTGGGGGTCCATTTTTTTTCATGTCCCTGTCAAATCTGACATATGATTTTGTAATTTCAGAAAACATTTTCTTATTTTCAAGAGTGGTGAATTAATGCAAAGTACCTGACAAACAAGTAGTAGTAGCTTGAAATCAATTCTGGTGATATTTCCTTGTCAAATAACAAAGGTCAGATGTAACAGGGACACAAAAATGTCACACTTTTGGACCTCTAATTTCTGGAATTAACCATAAATAAAGTACAATTCATATATCATGCACATTAAAGGAAGAAGACAGAACAGAAAACAGAGAAACAACTTTCAAATGAAGAAGCAATTATAGCTTAAGCCGTCATAAGAAATGACCATGGGTCTAGTGGAAGCATGTTCTCAACATAGCCTTTAGAAAAGGCCCCTTCCCTCCCCGGCATCGTATACATGGTGATTCCCACTTGTATCGAAATGGATTCATGGTGGAGTTACCTGCACAGACTTTGAGCACAATGCACAAGATCTCATCACCCCCTCTTTGTAAACATCAAAAGAAGGACGAGGGGCATGTAGTTGTATAGGCCAAGACTGGTGATTTTAGCACCCCCCCTCCCCGATCTTCTTTGATCTGGGAACATTTGTGGTTCTTGAAATAAAGAGTATGTAAGTGTTGTTTTTCGGCTGACTGAATTTTGTCCATTACTAACTCATGTTGCCATACCCTTGATTTTTATTTGTTACAAAACTTGCCTTTCATAAGTTTGTAAACAGGAAGTATCATAGATACATATATTCAGATGCCTTGGGGAAGTTTATAGACATACCAGTGTTTTGGCATAATTGTAAGACTCCAGCAAGTGTAGAGTTTCATTCCCCATTTTATGGTAATTCTTAACCGATGGCACCTTGCCAAAGGTACGATAGAGCATTCGACGAGCACAGGTGGTTATACAGAAGAGCTTGTCATTTTTTCCCCTGGGACAGACTCTGAATTTTACAACGTGCCTTCTTCAAATATCAGTCTTGGATAATGTCCCTTGGAATGCAGGGGCAGGACATGGACTGAAAATCTTGCAGTATGCTGGGCGTTTAGATCTTGTCTATCCGTATGCAGAGCAGGCCCTCTCCACTCCCTGCGCACTGGTGATGACCCACGGTTAATAAGTGACTAGCTCTGCCAATAAGTGGCAACCGGTCAACCGGTCTTGGAGTACTGTGAAAATACCACAGCCTTTGGGAGGCCGTGTATCAGTGGCTCAGCACGGAGGCTAGCTTGCCTCATGATGCACAATTGCTGACCTGCTTAACTCCCCAACCCCTTGTGAACATCACTAGTCAAGATATTTCAGATCACGACTTGTGTACTTTGTCTCTTTGATGGCACCGCTAATGTCATGGAAGAGAAAGGGTGCATTTCTTGCATTGCAGAGCAAGCATTTATAGCAGTAGTATAGTGGTTTATATCAGTTGAAAATATTGAAGTTTGAAGTTCCTTTGTAAACTGAATTACATGTACACAGTGACTGAAGATCCCTGTAATCTTATTTTCAAGGTTTGAATTTACCAGACATGTAATCCACAAGTTAATCACAAGTCAAGTGTTGAAGGAATAGGATTGAACATGCAGTGGATGGAACATGACTATAAAGGACTGTCTCTGTCAAAGGTTTTTTGGTATGCTCGGAGACTGCTCATTGAATGATTATCTTTGGCCTGTGAGACCAGTTTTACCATCCAGCAACGAATATGCTGTTGTGATGGCTGAAAAGAAGCAGTTGTTTTGGGGCAAAGTAATTTGCTGCAGAATTTCAGGAGACCTGTCACGAGGAGACAGAAAGCAAGGATTGAAGCAATGGGGATCGGGAAGAGTCTTACGGCGCGTATGCTTACATGTTGAAAAGTTAATTGTTTTCAAAGCTTTGCATTGGTCTGCATTTGGAGGCAAAAAGCAAAGCCAATGCCAGAATCTGAGAGCCCTGAGGCAGAAACAGTCCCTTCTACACCCACATGATTGATGGATAAAAAACTCTTTTAAGCGCAAGTGGTCGGGGGTGCAGCTATGTTGTCTTAGTGCCAGCTCTGGTGAATTACGAGTGTCCGTCAACAGCCCGCTGTTTTCTTTACATCTGAGAGGACTCCTCCAAATTCAAATCATTTCCAGATCAATTTGCATTCAGAGTCAACAGACTCAACAACAGAGGAGCCCGAAAAATGTCCCGCTGGGGTTTCTGTCTGGCAAGGTGTGGGAGTTGCTCCCAGAATGTCATTACTGCTCCAAAATGAGAAATAAATTGGTGACGGCAAAGTTGCTTTACAGAGAAATTTAGTCGCAATGGGAGAATTGTCATGTCACATTTTGGCCCACACTTCAGGTCTTCTTGTTTTTGAAATACAATAAATACCACAGTAGTAGCCCCTACTACTTGTCACTAAAATTGTAAGATAATTTCTTTGAAGTATTTTGTATTAACTTCTGTGTAGATCATGTCTCAAATTTCTCTCAATTAAAGATGGGTACAAATGTGTTACGATAAATCCCTCTCCACCTTTTTGATGGGTGGGGGAGGATGGGCAGGTTGGATCATGGATCAAATCAACTTATCCCCAAGATGTTTGTGCTGGGCATAACCCACGCACGCCTGCATTTCCCTCTCATTTTCTACACTTTAACTTTTTTGGGCAAAGGACCCTCACCCAACAATGGAAACAGTTCAGAGTCCATGATAGGACATAGCTCCTGTTGCTCTTCATTCGTTCCTTAACATTTTGGTGAACTTGTCCCATTACTTTTGTAAGCTTTCAAAAGAATCTTTAACATTGGTGTTCTCAGTTTTCTGATATACACACAAATTAATCTTGATACCCCTGTGCAGATAGCCCACCTTAACCCTGCTTCAGGGAAGGGGGGAAATCAGGATATTTGTAAGTTCATCCCCGTCCACAAGAAAAATGCCTAATGGGAGTAAGGGAATTTTACATCTGAATCTCATGATCAAATGAAAAAAACATTAGTTGCAGTTGGATAGTCTGCAAAAACTCTGGGCATCAAGGCAGCCCTGCATTTGAAATAAAGAAAGTTAATGCGGGATGGTTGGACAAAGGTACTTCTTGTGGAAAGTTTTGCTTGTCAGTCCTACCAAACCTGTCTATCTGACATTTTGCGGCTGTTGGTTGGATCATTTTGTTTGTTTGGTGGTTTGCTTGTTTATCTGTTTGTTTTCTGGTATCTGTGTGTATGTTCGTCTCTGTTTATATTCGCTTCTTTCCGTTTACATGTAATGGCTTTGCGTCTGTGGGCATGGCTTTGACTTTTGTCACGTTGAGAGATTGCTTTTTTTTTAATAATTTTTTTCAAATGTGCCACCTTTTGATTAAATGTCAGTGAGAACTACAGCTAATGAACATGTTATCGCTCATGCCGTGTTGCACATTCCTGATGCATTCTCTGCCTTGTTCTTTTTAAAGCCTGTTCCATTCAGTGATCAGCCATCAGCTCCCACAATCTGGGTCAAGCCATGGTTCATGCTCTTGGGTAAGTGATTGGTGGTGTAAGATGAATTCATTGTGTGAGTGTAAGTGACAGTCTTCAAGCATTTCAGTTTTGGTACAGGCAGCTGTTACTACAGGGGGAGTGTATTTATTTATAACCTGTCAGGGCAAAAGCTTGTGATATGTTTCCCAGGTGGTCAGACACTCAATGAAAGCCTGGCTGGGATTCTTCTTTTAATGCATGTGGGGAAATATGAGTCTTTTCAGATGTGTTACGCCCCATCGATCAGCATACCATGCAATTAGTCACAGGTGGGTAGAGCCTCAAACCATTAACCCTGATTCCATGTCTTTGTCTACCGAGAACCAGTTGGCACCAGGATGGGCAGTCATTAAACTCAGAGCTGATTGGCTTGCTCAGAGTTGGGAGTAACTTCGTTTTTAGTTTGGACAAATTGAAAACTTGATTTCATTGCGAAACTGTGCGCTGCATCTACACAGACGTAACTCTCTTAGTCATACAGTACCTCATGAACTTTGTACACCCACACAGTCATGACACACAGAAACATATGATTACATAGTAGACAGCCAGGAAAGTGAAAAAATGGAGGCTGCAGCAAAATGTGAAAGATAAGTGAGTCTCTCTGTGATGGAGGCTGCAGCAAAATGTGAAAGATAATTGAGTCTCTCTGTGATGCGTGGGTATTTTGGTGCCACAAAATGCAAATATACCCCACGAGCTTGTCGGCAAACAGGGGGGTGGTCTAGTCTGCAGATGCAACAGGCAGAGGAAATACAAGTAGCGAGGCCTAGAAGGTTTCTTGTTTGCGAACAAATACATTCAAAAGCTCCCTCAACAGAATTGCTGCCGAGGCGGGCGCCTGGCGAGTTGCAGGCATCACCAAGAACGTGTAGGACATTCAAGGAGGTAGCTTATCTGTGTTACAGGAACATATTCTTTCCATGAATTATCAAGATCAAATTACACTTTCTGATGCGCTGGCTCTGTTTACTAAGGCCATGATGCCCCACATCTAGACTAAAAATGTACATCCCAGCATATCAGTAAGTGCTCACAGGTTTTGAATTACTGCTCTAAATGTGAATTACATGATGTGAAAACATCATCATACTCACCCTCTCCCCGATCCAACCTGGCCCCCTCCAATATCCAACCTCTGTCTTGTAGGTTATCATTGTGCTTCTCGCAGAGATCCTTTCAATGCAAAGGTGCCAGCCTGAGACAGGTGACAGACAATTTGGAGATAGGCCTTTGTCTCTAAGCAAGGTTGTTTACATCAATCTCTCTCTTCCTCGGTGGACGTAGAGTGAACACGGATGTGGAAATGGTTGATAATATTGTGCGAATGGCAATACTATGACCATAGAATGCACAGAATTAGAATAAAGGAAATGAGTAACGGCGAGCCGATCAGGGGGAATATGACAAACAAATTGAAAAGTCATTGGTTTTCAAGCTTGTCTTGGAGAGGCCTTTTGATCATCCACATTCAGACACAGTGAACCTAAGCCTAAAATTGTTAAAACCTTAAATAATCCCACATATTATTTTCGGCTTAGATTACCATTTGTGCTCTCACACAACGACGAATAACCAAATGAAAGAAAACTGTAAGACAGGAAAAAAATTCAAAATTCTGTCAACTTTCTGCACGGAAATAGCTGCAACCTTTTTTTGCTCAGAATGACGTAGTTTGGGTCATTAAGATGAACCTCGGCAGCATCAGCATTAAAAGCAGAGGCGAGCTACTGAAAAGCCCAAATTCCAAATCAAAAATAAGACATAACCAGGACGCGAAGGTGAGTTTTCAAGGATTGCATAAAAGCCCAATGGACGGGCCGTTTAACCAAACCGTTGACAGAACTTGAATTCCCGAAGGGTGAGAAATAAGCATTAGCATGTTGGCCACTCGCAACCATCGTCAGTGGATCCATGTCAAGCTACGTCAATTGCTTGGCAGATACATAAATTGCAGAGTGGTTGGGAGACGTCATGAGAATTCACGAATTGTGGCCTAATGGGCCAAGCAAGCCACCGCACATTAACCAACCCTCCTTGAGTGCATTGATATGCATTGTTTTCAGTGCCCTACCATATTAATGGTATGGTGTGTCACGCCAAAGATGTCCCGATCTGTATTTCTCTCAGTTGAAAGAATGCAGCTGCATGTTTAGCTACCCCTAAACCCTCGAGGTGTAGTGGAAATCATATGGAATCCTGTTGTCTTTTACATACTTGGGGATACTATTAATTTCAGGATTGAAAACACAAGCATGTCTGAATTTGCTATGGAATTGAAGATGCAGTATACAGGTACGCGTACCTAGCTCGAATTCCATCTCCACGGTCATTTTGCGCAGCTGAGTTGACTGAAGATGTGCATTAACTTGCTTGAGCTGTTCCATTGTAATTTGTAACAGCACAGCAAGCTGCAGCCTATTTTGTAGTCTAGCCCCACTTTTGATTCAGTCTGTGTATAATTTGCCCTACATGCAGGTCCTTGTCTCAGGTCGAGCCGGCATTTCTTCTGCTTTCAGTCATTAAACTCCACTGATTTCCCCAGACCTTTTACAGTCTTCTACTGTATCTCTTTCTGCAAACTAACTTTTAGTTTCTTATGGTCCTCTCCACACAGATTTCAACAGGCTTTTGATCTACAGTGCCACACGTTCATCCTTAGATTTGTTCCAGCTACAAGAAATGCATCAACGACAGGGAAAGATAACGAACCTCATCGTGGTTGATTATTAAGTAGACATTACTGGCTTACTGCTCCCGGCATGTAGCACCCTAATGGTTGTGTTATTGATTCCCATTGCCAGGTGTAGGTGTGAGCACACAACTGCAAACCCATTGATTGGGGGGGGGAGGAGCAATGGAGGCAATCTGCAACCTGGTTCTCGGGTTGGGTAGGAGTGATGCCAAAATGCTTTCCCCCCCCCCCACAGCTTCGGAGGAACAGTGGTTCATTAGGTTTGTCATTCCAGTAATATTGCATATCTGCTGAAACCAATCTCACAGGGCCACATCAGAAGGTATGGCCGTGCAAGAATGGACATGGTCTTGTAACTGCATGAAAGTCCATTTTCTGAGAGTAGCTTTTACTGCATAAGTTGTCACCAAAGCTTGGTATAGCTCCAGTCTCTCTCTCTACAATGTGCCGAGAAACTCTGCCAACATTTATCTGGGATAAATCCTCCTACGAGTTGGTCAAAATGTACCCAAACTAACCAGTAATGAATTCACATCACTTCTTCATTAAAATCACCTTTCTAGCATGCTCCGCATTTTGTAATGTTGCTCTAATTAAAATTAACGATGTAGATATCATCTGAATACGTGTAATTGATGAACCTAGAGTGTTAGTATGTTGAAGCTAATAGGAAAAAATGTACATACCAAATCAATGGATCCATCTCCAAGGGCAGATCAAGGATTTTCCCAAGGGGGGGGCGTGATCCGAGATTTTCCAAAAGAGGGTGGGAGTGAAATAAAGAAGTAATGGTAAACTGCCCATACGACGTGGGGTCCGGAGCCAGTTTAGATTCTAGGCGATCTGTGGTGCAATTTCAGGCAGTATGGCACCTCTTTTTTTCTTTTCCCCCGTCCCCTTTTTCTTTTTTATTTATTTATTTGTTATTTTTTGTGAAACGGGGGGTGCCCCATGCTATCCGCCCCTGATTTCTATGTCCTTTGAGGGAGTCACGGGTGGCCTGGCCAATGTAAAACATTTTTGTCCGATGTACCAAATAGGGATAACTGTGAAGATGAACAAAGAAAGGACACTCAATCAGCCATCTTCAAAGATGTTGATTTGGACTGATATTTTATTTATCGCCATGTTTGTGCAGATCCCCCCCCTAGCATTTAAATAAAACCATGGAGCCAGCTAGCGAACCGAGTCTTTGTCACGTCTGATTTCACATTATCGGGCAGTCCCATTGCTCGGTTGTTCTGAAGATGAAGTTGTGATGCTGGCTCTTTAACAACGTAACGCGCGGAGACAGTCCTGGTAGATTGTTTAACCACGGTTTAACCCCGTCGTCGACGGCACCGCGGACAATTTGTTGATGGACGGGGATGAATTTTCTCCTAGTGGGCACTTGATGATGTCGGAGCTCGGTTGCCTCCGCGGTGCGTGGGCATGGTACGTTTCGCGGAACGTTGACGTCATGCCGCATGTTGAATAAGCCCCGTAATGGCTGTCCGTTTGGAGTGTAATTGATATGACTCTGTAATCAACCAGTTACTAACGTGATCATTGGAAAGGTGCTTTTTCCTGAAAAAGCAAACTCTAAGTTAGAATTACACGCGTAGATTCTAGAAGACTCTTCAAATCATTTTCTCTGACCCAGCGCACGTGGGGATATTATAACCTCACGAGTAACACCGTAGGGTTAATTACAAGGTCTGGAAGGCTTTATCTGGATAAATTGTGGGGTTTCTTTAGGTGAGAGGGTACTTTTCAAAAACAAAGCAGAAAAAAGTTTCATCTCGTAAGCAGTAATTAAATAACTCACAGAACAGTAAAACTAAGTGTAATTGATGTATCTGATTTTGTTATATATGTAAAGTTTATTTATTTGCATCTGTAAATTGCCTTCTCTTTCATTTCAAGATTGTTTATATTGGTTAAAGCAGGAATTTTGTTTCGTTTGTGCAGTCAGCTTTTAAAAAGCATTTTTTGTCAAACCATGATTTTCCTGAAAAGGGAAAGAAAATAAAAAAAGCAATTACAGTAGTTTTTCAGAGCTTGTGTCAAGTTTCCTGATTAATAAAAGAAAAAGAGAAAAGACCGCGGGACAAGCCCTCTTTTAACAATGTAAAATTTGAATACTTATGTGCATGATCATAATTAAGCAGTGTTTTTAAAAAGGTGAAGATTGGACATTTTCGTGCCCCCAAAGGTCGACAAATAACGAATAGTATGAGGTGATATGCATTAGACCGAGCCCTCAGTTATACTGCATGTGAATTCGACTCATCCTTGTGATCACTGTACGTGGTGAGTGGATCTGCCAGTGCTAATTGTAGCATAATTCAGCCATGCCTTCATATGCCAGAGTTTCACAGTGTTTAATCTCCCAGAAGTGTCGTTCATACTCAGGCGCAACTTGCATTTCACCTCGGCCACGTATTAAAAGGTGGGTAACAATTTGAAACGTGTACATGCGGGGGGAGGATGGCATTGTGGGACTTGTGCTGATAAGCTAATAATGGGTCCTCTACGCGGCCCTAGCACGCGGTGGAATTATTTTCCGAGGCCTTGGGATCCAGGGACCGTACTCGCTCTCACATGTTTCAGGGCCTCGAGGCCAATTTAGCCCGCCAAGAACGGGGACCTTGCCTTGGAACGTCTCGAGGTGTGCATGCGAGCATTTCTTCGGTGGAATGGCGTGTCCCTGGGAAAAAGTATAGATTCAATTGACATTAAAGGCGGATGCCTTTCTGTGATAGCAATGCTCGTTTTGGTCAAGTCAAGGCATATTAAAGATGACAGGAGAAGCATACTTGGCTCGTTGGTAAACACTCTAAACATGCCGCTTTCAACTGAAACCAGAAACAAATTTAGATAATATCGTGATGGCGCCACAAAAGATGTTGCAATGACGTGCCCATTACCTGTTCGGTTATTCCATCACCAATGCATTACTCACGGTCTTGTAAGCGAAATGAAATAAGTTTCGGTTAAAGTGCGTTCACTGATGTGTGTTTGCTAGTTGGGAAATGCTTCATCTCCGTTACGTCAGAGCTTCAGAATAAACAACCCGTTTCAACGACTGAAACACTAAATAACGGATTGAAATAGTTTTCTCTGCTGGCGCACAAGACAATTTTTGCAAATTAATGTATGGGCCATTACTCAGTGTTCAGTATGACCCTGTATTCCCCTAACACGCGATGGAGTCTGAACAGGCGGTAAATATCGTATAGATTAACCCCCCGACGATCGGGTGAAACACTGTCGGACACTGGTTAAATATTGACAACGTGCACGGTTAATCGTATCCATCTTTCCAATGACAGAATACCCCCTTAACATCGTAGTGCAACCCCTAACATTTATACCCTTCCAAGGACTCG